TCACCTGCCCCCCCCCAAAACAGCCTTGCCCCACTGTGCCCCCCTTTGCAGCCCCACCACGCACTCACACTTGGTGGGGTTCTCCGGATCCAGGGAGTAGCGCACCATCGTCAGAGCTTAGCTGCCGAAACACGAAGAGGTTCAGTTAGCCTCAGGCACCATCGAGCCCATACCCAGCAGGTGCCTCCCTCCCCTGAAAACTCATCTCGTTTTTCTGGCACGGTGTGCACGACCCAGCTCACAAACCCTTGTCCAGAGCAGCACAATAGGCAACTCACCCTCTCCTTTAAGAGCAGCTATATGCGCTCTGCCGACCTGCTGGGGCCGGGAGCGCGGCACATCCGGGTCCCTCGGACTTCTCCCCCTCCCCCCCAGGGCGCACAGGCCCGGCGCCCCCGAGCCCCGGGAGCGGCAATACCGGTACGGGCAGCACCCCGTGGCCGCACCCTCACCGCTGCCCCGCGCCCCCCTCAGCCCCCGCCGCAGGATGGCGCCTCAGTACGGCGGATTGCACCAGGCCCGACGCCGCCATTCCCCACCCACCTCAGCGCCGCGCTAGGGAAGAGAAAGAGCAAGGCATGCCGGGAGACTTGCCGAGCGCTCGGCCTCGCGAGAGGGCCGGGGGAGGGGGGGGGCGAGATTTCAGCGAGGGAGCTCCGTCAAGAGCCAGGCTGGGCGAGCGGTGGAAAGGAGGCAAGGGGCCGTGTCTCAAGTGCCGGATTCGTGCGGCGCGACAAGCTTCGCTCCAGGCGGTGCTCAGTCTGTTCAACAGGGTTGAGCTGGACTGCCCCGAGCTGCCCCGGGCGGGAGTGCCCCTCCCCCCCCAAACTGAAGACGAACCTCAGTAATTGGATGCAGGGATGTATTTGGCAGCTGTGTGGGTCTGAGAAAAAGAAATGCAAAAACCAGAACTCTTGGTTCAGAAATGATACCTTTTATTAGACCGACAGGAATTGCAATTTCAAGTATTATAATAATAATAATTATTATTTGCAATTTCTGTTGGTCTAATAAAAGGTATTGCCTCTGAACCAAGAGGAATACAGTTTTGCAGTCAGTGGATCCCATGCCTGGAAAGTATATTAATGTGATGATTAACATCATTGGGATAATTAACATCCATGGGATAATTAACATCATCCATGTCAAGGACTGAATTATTGGAGGTCTCTGAAATCAGCCCCACACCCCACCCCTGCCGGGGAAAGCAGTGACAGAGGGGCAGTCGGTGTGGGGAATCCTTGCCTCTTGCCTTTCCACACCTTGGCCCCTGCCAGCTGTCCC